ACCCCTCCCGCCCTCCTCCTCCTCTCCCTCCCGCTCCTCCGCCCCCCTTAGGAGACTGAGGAGGCCCTGGAGGAGCTCCGTCAGAAGCTGAGGGATACCAAGACACGCATGGATGCGGAGGCGCTGGCGCTGCAGGGACAGGTGGGCTGGGCTGGGCTGGGCTGGGCTGGGCTGGGCTGGGAAATGGCGGGGGCCCTAGGTGCGGGGAAAGGGGAGGGCGCATAGGGAGAGCATACTGCCCGAGGAAGGAGAAAGGGTTCCTCCAGTTACTCTTTCTCCTACCTCGGGCGGTAACAACGCCACTGCTTTCCTACTACTCCCACACCCGTGTCCCCTGTTGCCCCCTGCAGGTCGCTTCCCTCCAAGCTGCCATCGTGGCCGCACGGGAGAAGGCTCGCCGCCTGAAGGACCGCACTTTGGAGAACGAGGGCGCCTTCACACTCAGCATGGGCAACACGGGGGGCGGAGGGGGCAGCTCCGGACCCACGGGTCAGCCGGGCGGCGGCGGTGCCGGGGCGGGTGCACCCGTGAACCTGAAGCAGCTGGGTGATAAGGTCCGGGAGGTCTACGTGCGTTGCGGCTTTGATGCGGACGCATCCATCAGTACCTTGCAGGTAACCGTCCCTCTGACGGGTGTGCGGAGAGTGTGTGGAAGGGGTTTGGAGCTATGGCCATTAAGGGTGGACGGTATGGGGGGCGAAGGTGGGCGGGGGGAGGGGGAAGGAGGGGACGAAGGCCCGGGTGAGGGGAGGCGAGGGGAGGCGAGAGGAAGAATTTAACAGTTTTTGTGTGTTTTGTGTTCTGGATTCTGGTCTACCTCGTCGCACATCGGCCCCAATTCCCCTCTTCCCGCCCCTACTTCGGTTTCGTCCATCCATTGTTGGGGATTGCTGCTCACCGCCATTGCGCCCGGACGCCACCCGCCTTCGTGTTGTGTTTTGCCGTACAATTTAAGCCCCGTGTGGTCGCCTTGTTCTCTCCTTTCATTACCTCTTTCCCTCCCCTCCGCCGCCATCGCATCTTGACACGTCCCGGCTGCCAGATGTTGACCAACATTGAGATGAAGCTGGAGGAGTACCTGTCTATCGCAGAGGCCATGCCCATGGAATACGTGGATGGTGCAGAGAAGTCACGAGAGAAGGAACGGCGAAAGGTGCGGGGCGGGGCGGGGTTCCCCCGGTCTGGGGATTCTGGGTGTGGCACAAGTCCCCGGTACGCACATACTTTGTCGAGGCTACAGTATATGAGGTGTGCGTGTGTATGTGTGTGTGTGTGCACAGCGTAGGGATTGGGGTCGCCTGGTCGTGGGGGGCTATCATCTTCATCTTCTTCATTTTGTTGTTGTTGTTCTTCTTCTTATGATTAATGCCCCGCCCTCGTTCCCCTCTTCCCTCCCGTCCCCATCCTGGCTTCATCAGGTTGCCCGCGATGAAAAGCTCTCTGCGCAGCACCGGGAGCACGAGGCCCGCATGGCGAGAGCTCTGGAACGAGCGGCGGCACCCGTGTTCAAGAAGACCGGCAAGCCGCTCATGTTTCGTTCGGCACCGCCGCAGCGAAAGAAAGTGGTGCAGGCAGACGACCGAAACGATGAAGAGGCGGAGCTGGAGGCGTACCTGGCTCAGGACATGATCTGATGTGAAGATTCAAGGCTCTCTGGCTCCCTCTCGTTGGTTGAGAACCTACCTGCAGGTCTAACCTGACCTGACCTTGTCGTGCCGCGCTGCTTTCGCGACCTGCTGCTGTGCGGTACGGCTATTTATGAGGGCAGGTGCCTGTCTGTATGTCTGTGTGCCCCAATCAGATGGATGTGGTTACTGCTGGACTGATCTGGGTTGGTGTCGGCCGCAATGGCCTGGTCCGACCTGAGTATCTGTTGGACTCGCCGTGCTGGATACAGTGTGTATGGCAGCCTGACAGTCTGACAGCCTGGCACCTGGTCTATCAGAGTGTCTGACCCTCTGTCTGCAGTGCAGTGAGAGGCGGTCCGCGCATTTGCGGTCCATGGACGTCCGTCTTCTGATCAGCGGAGTTCAGGTGGAGCTAGCGTTAGTTGACCTGCGGTTTATTGCTCGCATGCAGCAGCAGCTTTGGTATGCGCGCATGGAATCTGCCCGGCGACCGAGCTGGATGTGCCGGGTCTGGTCTTGGGGGGTTATGGGGCCTACTCATTTAGTGACCAGCTGCTTTTGGAGAAGAGCAGGCCTGTGTGTGTGCGCGTGGATGTGTGTGTTTTGGAAGGGAACATACAGACGTCGAGACGCAGCGCGAGCGCGTATGTATGGTGTAATAATGCACTGTAGGGCATGGAGGGGGAACAGGGCCTCGTTTGCGGCGACGGGCAGCAGCGTCCGGCCCTGGTATTGTGAGTACGGCACGTGAAGGGAATGTACGGTGTTGCTTGTGAAGGCGGGACGGACGGCGTTTGGCCCGGGCCACAGACACGTAGGAAGGTAACAGGCAGGTGCCGCGGGGCTGTGCTGCGAGTGCATAAGGACGCGTGAGGACGAACCAATTCAATTCGCCTGACGTCATTGCTACCGTACGGTTTTTCCTTCGTCACTTCCATTTAGTGAACATTCGAATGTAAGCTGCTCAAGCTATCTCCTTTTACTTAACCGTTCATTTTAATCTTCCCAGCAGTTGTTGCGGATGAAGTTTGCAGCATTTCCTCTCGTGCTACTGCGCAGATTTAGGCACCTGCAATGTCTATTCCACAAGGGGTATCTATCAGCTCTGCAGTCATTATATTTACTTTTATCCTTGTTGGAGGAGGAGCGTCCCAAAGTACGCGCGATGTAAACCAGCATTTGCGTGATACAACGCACGACCTCGGGGTCACGCAAGTTCAGCTTTACGCAAAGTATTCGGCGCTAATAAATGACAAGGTGATCCTTCTAAATGTTTGGCTCAAGCGAGTCACATGGGGTGACGGCAGCGGGCGGTCAGAGGTGCATGGCTTCGCCTGGGCAGAGGACCTAGATGCGCTCAACCGAACTCAAAAGGGCTATATGGTCATGGCTTTTGACCCGAGCGTTTGGCAACCGCAACTTCGTCTGGAGACACCTCGCGGCACAATTGTGCACGCGCAACCCACCACAGATGCGGTCAAGAACCCGGACGTCAAGTCTCCTCTGCGGCCCTTCCATTTCACGTTTTCCTTAGATTCCAAGTTACCTGGGCGTTGCTTTAAGGTATGGCGCGGGTGCTCAACCCACGGACGCGTGCCCTGCCGTGTGTGTCACCCGCCTCCAGGGCTCAAGCCCACCAGCCAGCCACACATGTACAGACTCGTTACATATTCGATTTAGAAAGATGCGCCGCCGAGAACCCAGATCCATTCCTTTGTATTGTGCAGCCGCCGTTTAGTTTAGCAAGCAAGGACGCCATGTGGGCAGCCGTAGCCTTGCAGTTGACTTTCCCAGGTACAGTTAGTCGGAGGCCATGGCTTCACAGAGCCCACGTCTGGCGTCATGTAAGACACAAAAATGGCTGCATTCGGCTGCTTTGTGTGATATCCTCGGCTTCCAGCTGTACGAGGAGTCCTTCCCCGGCTACCGCACCAGCTTCTGCCTTCCGCTCACCTCCGAGCGCCTATGCCGCCGACTGCTTGTATCGGAGTCGACGACGACGACTGAGGGCGTGCAGCCTGTGCCGGCGCTGTGGTCGCTCATCCTCCCGCTACGCAGCTCGGGTGTGAACGGAACACGCTGGGAGTACCACACGCGGCTCATGGCCAACCGTATCTACAATTACGTGGTGTACCAGGTCGGCATCGGAGGAGGTGAGTGGGATACAGGGCGGGGGGGAGAGGGGGCGCCTGAGGGGCGGTCATAGAGGGGGCTAAGGGCTCATGGGGTGGCGGTTGGTCCTGGAAGCGTTGGGGCCGACATCGGATACCCCGGCCTGGTCGGGGGTGGTCTGTGTCGGCCTATTTGCGCCTAATAATCTTTTCATATCCATACCAAACGCACTTCTCCCCACCTTTTACCTCACGACCACCCCTCCTGCCCCGAGCTTCCCTCACGAAAAAGCATCAAATCTATTTTTGTATGTAAGGTAAGCTAAACAACAAGGCATTACTCATATGCGGCTATCGTCTTCTGCTGGGGAGTACGATACATCGACGCTTTGCGGCACTTTTTATCCCCTCCTCCCCTGCCAACCACAATCCGCCCTTGATTCCTCAAGCGTTGCCCCCACCCTCCCACCCCACACAAAAACAAATGTCGGTAACGTAATATAATTCTGGAATCATAATTCTGGAATCATAATCCTGGAATCCATAATTCTGGAATCATGGGCCGTACCTCATTGCATAGGATCGCAGCAGTGTCGAACTTTGGACGCCGGCAGCTGCATGGGATTCCCCCACACACCCACTCCCCACCTCACCCACACTCCACCCAAACCCTGGGATCATACCTTACGGCGCCCCCCTGGTCACGCGCCAGCCGGCGTGCTGCTGTACGCTGACCGCATGACTCGAGCTGGCTTGGATCGGGTGCCGCGTATCGCTGCACTGATGGCCAAGGGCCGCCTCGTGGTGGTGGCCTGGGACATGGCGGAGAGGTCGCCACTGGGTTACAAGTACGACCAGGCGCTGGTGGCCAGCCATGCACTGCTGGGCCTGTCATCCTGCGGCCCCGGGGTGATGCTGCTGCTGGCCGGCATAAACGATTACCTCTACTCGGCCTTTGGACACGGCTGGCCGTCCATTCATGCATGTTTAATTCGGGATGACCCACGGGTCACTGTGTTCCGCATCCAGCGAATCGCCGTGACTACCTCGCGCATGGATCCGCACCGAGAGGCGGTCTGGTGGGCGCTGCCGGCGCGCTCTCTGGCGCGTCATCCCATCATGGCGTACGATATGATGGGCCGGGAACCTATGCGACCGGATCTGGCCAGGGTGCTGGCGGCGCCTGCGGGCCGCGTGGTAGATATCTACGCGTACGACGGCCTCGCGATGTACGACACCGATAAGCTTGCCAGTGCAGGATGTGGGTTCCTCCTTCACGTGGCGAACTACTGGTGGCCGCATTCTGGGGCTGTGTTGGCGGCCACGGGGGGGGTCGGCGGTGGCGGTGGCGTTGGAGGCATGGACAGCTTCGAAAGCCTTTTTCACTCGGATGAATCGGAGTTTGGAGAAGCTGGGCGAGGACGAGCTGGCGGTGGCGGAGATAACGCTGACGGCGGCGGCTTGGGGGGCGACACCGACGCTAACTACACACGGTTCAAGATGTGGCCGGCATGGGCGACGAACAGCACCCCCCAAGGAGAGGGTTCAGGGGCAATGACGCTGCCGGGGCTGCTGGCAACTGGCAGCGAGGTCGGAAGGACGCATTCAGGAGGTGCGTTGCGGCACGACGGCGGGGACGGCGGCGACATCGACGGCAATGTTGGTGGGAGTAACGGCCATCAGGGCGGTGGCCGCTCCGCCGTCGGAGGTGACGGCGGCGATGGCAACGCAGCCGTGACGGGAGGGCTAGACGTGGGTGGCGGTGGAGCAGCTGCCGCGGCAGCGGCGGCGGCGGCAGCGCTGGCGGCAGCTCAAAGCGCAGCAGCAGCGATGGGGTCCGAAGCAACAGGAGGCGGTGGCAGCGATTCATATGCGGGGTCCCTTATCGGCAGCGGGAGCGCTGATGATTCCGCTGATGGGGGCACGGAGATCGCAGCTGATGCCGACCGCTGGGCAGCACTGGCGGCGGACAAGGCCAAAGAGGCGCGAGCGGCGGAGGCGGCCGCCGCGGAGGCGGCAGCTACCGGGTCAGGAGGAGGAAACGCCAACACGGGGTTGAATGAGGCAGGGGCAGCTGGGATGGGTGCCACCGACGAGGGGGCGACCGCCACAGCTGCGGCACCTGCTGCTGTCAAGAATGCTGAATGAGGCACCTTGTCGTTGGTGTACGACAAGCATTGACACAACCTAGTTATTTATTATCGCATGCTGCCGTAGGAGGGCAACTGTCGGCAACATGTTGCCAGCTGCCGCAACGGTGGCAAACGCAACGCCGGCAACGGCACCATGTCCTCGCCGCTGACTCACGACCCATGAATAATGATAAAATTCGCATCTGCTCGTACTGTGTACTGCATGTTAGTTAATGGCAGCGGAGCCAGATCAGGACGGAAAGCGCCACGGCGTTGCTTCGTAAATTCAATGTCCATGCATATGGCGTGTGGTGTAGGCCCGCCCCGTTCGCCACGTCCTTACAGGAGCACACGTCGGAATGGTCGCAGGGGAACATACAGCACATGCAGGCATTTCCAAGGGAGCAGCAGCGCGGGCTGCTGGTTACTAGCGTATCTTTCAGGTCAGGTTGGGTTTTCAGTGCATGGCTAGGGTTCACATGGCAGGAGGGTAGGAGAGGTGAAGGGGCAGCGGGTTGCAACAGAGCTAGACGAATGCGGCAATCAGCATTCCCACCATGGAAACGCAATGTCGCATGTACCAGCTGCTGGTCTCTTCCCAAGTATAGATGCTGCATCGGATGTACGTAAAAACAACTTCCCCGCGCAACTGGAACAAAAACACGCAATGTGAGGGCCTTATGTGGGCGTCCTGAGCTGCCAAAGCTTCGGTTTGCCTTACAAGGCCTGAAGCACTCGAAGCCGAAATGATCCCCAATTGTTGTACGGGACTTCAAATTGTCGTCCAGCTTATTGATCGTCATTGATGTCCCAGTTGATTGGCTTGTGGTGATGGAGGCGCCTTCACTTGGAATTTCACTTGGAACCCTGGTGGCTCCGTGGTCAACTGTGTCTGATAGTGCCGCGGCAGAGCCATACATGTACAGCTACTATCGAGCCTCTATACCATTCTTGCATGCCTTGCATACGGTATTCTTATCTGTTACTCCTGACTCATTTCCTTGGGGTGGAAAATGTACCCTTCACATTTCTCACACGACAGCTCCGAATACGCCACATGTACCCATGACCTGCCACGTGCACACCACCACCTGGTTGCTGGGTACCCTCTCCATACCCTGAATGCTGTGTGCTGAAGGATGGTGAGACATACCAGCTTTATGAAAACACCATGCCGCCGTAACGGCACAGCCGCCAAGACTCTCGTCGATAACAGCCGAAACGACCTCTTCACGAGGGGCCACGATTAGAGCTTGTTGGCTCAACACGACGATGAATCTCTAGGGATGCTCATCATCAGCACTGTCACCTCGTCATTGCAATGCCCCCCCCACACACACATATACCAAGGTAATCAGGCAAGCAAACCGGGTGGCCAGTCATCACCCTCACCCTTGGCTGGCTCACCCAGTCGCTACAGAACATGCACCCACAAAACCAAGATCCTTTGCACGTTAAATTGCCGCCACGTGCAGGCCAAGGAAGGCGCCGTGTTTGATACGCACACGGGCCCCACACACTCATGCCGCCACCAGCAATTGGTCGAAGTCCACGACGGCGCCCACACCGTCCGCCCCCCTGCCCGCAGCTGCCGGCTCAGCCTTGCTTTCCAGATCGATGAGTGAAGAGGACCGCGCCGCCAGCTCGCCAATCGCGATGCGGCCTCGTGACCGAATGTACGACGCGACTGCGTTCATCTCGTCCAAGCTAATGTAAATGTACTGTGGACCATAGAGCGGAGGCGGAGGCCGGCAAGGCAGGGGGGGAAAGGAAGTCAAGGACTGTTTGGCCTCAGCCGCCGTTGAGCACAGCCATCCGCCGCCGCCATCGTCATCCTAGCGTCGTGGGCGGGAAAGCAATCTACTTCCCGTCAAATAGATACGCCCACCCTGCCTGCACACAAAACGTTTCAACCATGCGCATTCATATCCACATGCGCCGAGATGCTTGTTGCGATACGGTGGGTAACCTTCACGTGCCTTTTCTCCTTTCTTTTCTGTGCTGTTGTTTATCGCTCCTTAGCCCTCTCCACCGTCCCTCCCGCCCGCGGATACAAGTACATAAGAGCGCTGTATGCATGTATACAAGTTTATACATATTCACAAGATGCAACATGACAGTAATGGAATCATCTGTGTGTGCCGCAGGGCTTCGTGAAGATAGGTGCACAAGCAGCCAACGCGCTCACCTTGCCCCGCTCGTCCATAACTCCGGTCAACCTGCCCCCCGCCTCCAGCGCCCGGATGCGGTCAATCACTTCTGCGGTGCGCATACCAAACTCCAGCGCCAGGGCCTCCAGCGGCACCGTTTTCCGGCTGCGGATGTACTCCACAAACTGGGTTAGGAGGCTCTCCGCTGCCGCGCCCGACTCGTCGCCCTCTGCGTGTAGAGAGTTTTCCAAAAGGGCATCCCCCATTCCGACATTATTCCCCCCCAAGTGCGCCGCAGTCAATTGATGTTGTCGTCAACATAGGTTGTTCACAAGCTTCAATATCAGACCAAAATTAGTTCAAAGTGAACCGAAAAAAATGAACTCGACCTCGGAATGCAACACAGCCGAGCTTCGTGTGAACTGTGATTACGGGAAGTAACGTACGTGCAAAAAGTGAGGAATTAAGTGTGAAGTGAGGAGGTGCTGTGGAGTGAAAAAGTTCAATGTAGAGGACTTCCGAGCACACGAAGCGACATGGCGTGTGAAGAAGTGTCAAGTGGTAGAGGATAAATGGGGTCTACGTGCAGGGCAGCGCGCAGGAGGAGGACACTGCGGGTCAGCAAGTAAAAGCCTGTGCGGGTGAGGGTGGGGAGCGGTGGGCTCTACGACACGACACGGCGCAGGCCAAGACAACGGCGCGGGTACGTAGGTAGCTGGGTGCATGGGTGCAGCAAGGCGCCAAAACATGGAAGTCCTTGACAACGGTCTGCAGTGGGCTTCTGTGTTTAGCTTTCAGCTTTCCAACCCCTGGAATCTTGCCAGCTGCGGCGGCAATTGCTGTTGCTGCTGCTATTGATGCCCCTGTGGCTGCTGCTAGCATCACGCACCCTCGCCCTGCTCCTCAAGCACTATCTGTCCCATCCACTTTGCCGCCTCCTCCTCCTCACGACGAGCCCGCTCCTCCGCGGCCCGCCGCATCTCCTCCTCCTGCGTTCGTATGTGTGTTGCGGGGTGGGGGAGGAAATGTTGTTTGAAAGCAAGACGCGGAGGGATTACAAAGCCATGATGCAAACTGCCCCTGAGTAGCTCTGAAGGCGGGGGAGGAAATTAAGATAAACGTCCGATACGAAACAGATGAGCATTGGCAGGGCGAAGGGGAAAACCTCCGTGCGGGCACTACATATACGACATAGGCCCGGTTGCCATCATACCCCTGAGTGACGGTGCTCATTTAGATGGGCCCCACAACCCCGACCCGAGCAATCCCCACCTGCGCCGCTTCCTGAGCCTCCCGCTCCGCTTCCCGCTTGGCCCGCCGCTCCTCGTACGCGCTGCGCTTGCCCTGTCGGGCCTCCTGCGCGACCCGTTGAGCCGCTGCGCCTTCCCGCCGGGCGGCCCTCCTAGCAGCCCTCCGGTCCAGCGGCCCGTCATCGGCCTGAAATGTGAAGTAAGTTGGTCTTGGCGTTAAATGTTTGGTAAACAATCCATGGAGGGGGAATGGATGCAATTAGTTGGGTTATGCTGCCGGGTCATAGTGCACGGCACTGTTACCACCAGGACACGCGGGCGGTTCTCACGTCATCATCGGAGCCGCTATAGCTTGCTGTCCCGTCGCCGTCGCCTGAATAATCGTCTGCTGCCGCGCCAGCCTGCGCACCACCCGCCTCCTCGGCTTGTCGCGCAGCCAGCCGTTGACGCATGCCTGCCCGCATGCGATCCAAAGCTGCCTGGCGACCGCCCGCAGGCGCAGCTTGCCGAGCTATCACAGCAGCCTGTCGGGACGCACAGAATAGTTTTTGATCCATCATTTTGGCGGGACATGCCTGACGTGGGGATAATAAGAACTCGCCTGGGGTCGCTGCTGCTGAACAAGGGTCTCCTCGTCCTTCTTTGCAGTCATCGTCGTCTTGATAGCTAGGTAAGCCACCCCACCGAGGATGGCCAGAAGGACCACTGCAGCAACGATAACAGGCAACATTTCTCTTAAACGCGTTCCCGTAATCTTTCGTTAACTGAGTATCCTAAAAATCAAGCTCGATTACTTCCTGCTCAGTCGTGGAAAGCTGAAAGGAGGAAATGTTATGCCCGTTAGCCAACTATATTGACATGATAACGGTATATAATTCGAAGCTACACATATTATGATTGCCCATCGCAACAGCGCAATCAGCTTGGAGTTCTCGCTACCGTTTTGGTATCGGAGCAGCAAAACATCAACTGCTGATTTACCCTCGGACAGCTCAGGACGCCTGGCACCCGAGACCTAAGCACTTGAAGGACAATCCATACGGGATAATATGGATAACTTTACGGATCTTCCGTCCGTGGATGTTTACGTTTTATGAATGTGTTGCCTGAGCAATCATGCCAACAGATGCACGCGGTGTTAGCTTCGCGAACCATCTCGATGGTGGTATTGAAGCCCACGTTAAGCATTTTGGACCGAAACTCTAGCTCAGATGAAGTGTCGGGGCGGGCATCCGGCATCCGGCATCGGGATGGGGGTGACGGTGCATAGTAAGCGGGTTGGGAGATTCACATGTCCATGTCAGCTGCCAAATCCCACCTAATAATGGACCATGCTAAATACATGCTGGATAATCCTGGTTCTGAATGCACTTTGCTGAAGAAGATGCTGTACTGCAAACTCTTTTCTGGGCCAGGCCTTGCAAGTACGTGACCGGCCTGCTGCCCGCCGGTCTGGTTAAGGTGCAAGGCGGAATTATGAATAACACGTGTAAGGTTTATTACAAATGCTCAACTGCTAGAGACTGAACGGTGCGGAGTGAGCACGGCAAGGCGTGTGTAATAGTGTGTAATGTTGCAGGTGGATCATCGAGGGTTCAGGATGCATTCACGCCATGCCATGCATAGCATAGCATGACAGTACAGGACAGAGTTCCACGCCTGAGGGTGGCATCTTTCTCCCATAACCCAGGAGGCGCAGCGGATAGCGCACCTGGCAGCGCCTCAACACGCACACAATCACTAGGATGCATTCAAAGAATACCTTAAATGAATTATTGGCTGCACGACTGCCGGTTCTAGTCCTACACTTGTCAAAACAACGACCATCGGACGGCTTCAACCAACACAAAAACGAGTAACATGCGCGAAAGCCGTCCTTGCGGCACCTGCTTCGGCCCTGGCTAGTCCTACTAACCAAGCTTTAACAACCTACTTGTAAACCTGGAAATTTTTGCAGACCTGCCATCGCCGCCCTTGAAAACCAAGGCCTAAACACCCGAACATATCCGGGCGATGCAGATCGCCTGCGTTGCCCGCGGCTTGTAGAACTACCTTCCATGGGGTCCCTCTCGGAGCCCGGGAGGCTTGGCCAAATATGCTAATATCGCAACCAACCACTAACATACTTTATCCAGGTCGGTCGCGCCTTAGCCGGCCCGACCGCCGGCTTATCACTTTGTATGCTCCTTAGACAGGGTCATCGTATAATGACGAGGACCGCATAATAGATAGGCCTGGAAATAGAGATGCTGTATGGACATTCCTTCATTTCACAGGCATAGCTCCCTATAGAGTTCTATGGATCCAACACGAATACATGCACCACCAGGAACTTACACCTGCTGGCTTTTTCCCGTTATGGGCGGCGGCCGCATCGGCCCAGGGGCATCCCAGCAGGAATGCGACATCGTAGGCGTCTCACCCACACAGCTATCCCCCAATGTGGAGATCTTGGGTACAGACACGACCACACAAACCTACTTCTCTCTCGCATATTTCCCATCCGAGCAAGAGATAATCTCCCGTCCTCGACGACTCTTAGTGGTCTTTAGCATCCTTCCCTCCCTCTTTCCCGATGCCTTGGCAGGCACAGTCCGTGTTTTCCCATCCCAATCCACTGCCTTGCCAATTCCCACTTCCAACTTCTTCTTGGGCTCCTTCCCAGCCATTGTGACCTCCAGCATTGTCACTTGAGCATTACCTGCTTCGTCACCTGAAGGCCAACAAGCCCTTCCAGCAAGCACTTCTGCAAGTAAAGCCCCGACCGCCGCATATTTATGCTGTGGAGGAAGTGGATGCCTCCGAAACCCCAATCGCTGCCTACATCGCCGCAAACATAAAGATACGATACGTCAGCTGCAGCTTACGATTAGGGAGTGGACTGGAAGGTGCCGACTGGGCAGCATTTCCTGTCCGTCGAGAAGATGGCGTAAAGGCAGCTGCCACCTTCACCCCTGGCGCAGAAGCTCTCCAATGTGGGGCAAGCGGACGATGTTGACAGGTCAAAGCACAGCTGCCGGCCTTCCGTAGGAACTGAAACAGCGGCCACATTCACAGTGGGAATCTGCGGGTTTGGGTGTATGGGGATTGATTAAGGATACTTCAAGTACGAAGCTCAATTTGAAATGTTGGAGCTCCAGGGCCGTGCACATGCATGCGCATCACATGAGCCCACGCGTCCTCAGTTGCGAGGGTGGGGAACTTTCGTTGTGGGCCCATCTGCAGTTCGACTTGACGTTGTGGACGCACGACCCTCGCGACAGCCCCACACCTTCTGTTTGTTCCCTGCGTTCCCAGCCCGGCGGCCTTCACACAGATCCCTGTCTTATACTAAGACAGGGATCTGAGCTACCTGAGCATTTTCGCACCTGCCCTGCATCCAAGTCGCCTCTCCAAGGCCTCTCACACCCACCGTTGGGCCACCTAATAATAGTCGCCGTTTACCGTTTTAACGCCTTCCGGCTTAAGACGCAGGCAAATGCATCTTAATCACGGTAACCACACGCCATACACGCAGTAAGCGCATGGCCTCCTCAAGTGCGCGTGTGTGGACATCTTCGGCCATCCTAACCTGCTAGCTACACCCCTAATACATGGGTTGCACCGGTGACCCTTCCAGATCCATTATCTTGTTGCCACACATGTTATAGTGATATAACCCTTTTATTTTATATATGTAATATAACCCTTTTATTTTATATGTGTAATATAATCCCTGTATTCTATATATAATATAATCCTTTCGCATCCACACTAACGAGGCCTATTCAGTCCATTACCTTGAAGGTTCCGTTAGGGGCCCACTGGGAGTCAACCCGGGCCCCATCCAGGTAGACGCCGCGTACGGCACCACGGCACGCGTCCCTGGACCACCACTCCACTTTGGACAGCGCTGAGTTACAGCACGGGCTTTCCGGCATTGAGCACGGCCGTGTACGGAGAGTCATGCAGTACCGCCGGTTGGTCCCGACGCGACGGACTGTTGTGACTTCGTCAAATTCGAAGGGAACCAGGCCGGAAGGGAATCGTTTGCATCTGCAAGGCCGGACAGGTGCGGCAGAGGCGTTGAGTGTTTGGGGAGATGTGAACTGATATGAGCTGGGGCCTGGTACGCGCGAGGGCAGACGCAGTGAAGGATTTGAAACACTGCGGAGTTGGATTAGGCTGATGCCGTTTCTACTGTCACGATGTGCCTGTCTGTTGGCAAAGGCATGGCGCGCGGATGACAGTGTTCGTGTGCGGACAGCACCCCTGGTCGCATCATCGGATCTGTTGTAAACCTAAATCATTCAAGTGTTGAAGTGGCTACTGGAACCTTAGTGGCACCTTAGGGGGCCTCTTTTGAGGATTATGGTTCGCAGGCAACGACCAGGACCATGCAAGGTAAGCAACGGCTATGGAAGACGCGCCCCTGCAACGATTACAGCTTCTAACTTTCCGGCCCAATTACAGCCCCCGGTGTAGCAGGATGAATAGGAAAGGAAAACTACAGCAGCAGCAGCAGCAGCAGCAGCAGCAATGAATACATAATCAAAGCACGGAGCCCTCCCCAAAGCTTAACAACGCAGTTACCAAGGCGAGAAGTCAGACTTACTCGCAGAATGGGAAGGAGGTGAAAGTGGTTGGGATCGGAATAGACGGTTCCGGCAACGATGGACTGCTCGGAGACATTGGGCTTGGAGGGAAAGGAGAAGGTGGCTTGGGACTTGGTGGCACAGGGCTTGGAGGGGAGGGGCTCGGAGGGGAGGGGCTGGGGGGGGAGGGGCTTGGAGGGGAGGGGCTGGGGGGAAGGGGAGAGGGCGCTAGTGGGCTGCTGGGAGAGTCAGGGGCTGGTGGCGGGGAAAGCCCCAAGCGTCCCTTTGGGCAGCAGTTGCAGGGCCCGCTCTGTACGATTGCGTAGGTGCAGGAGCCGTCACCTTCCGGGCAGAGCTGTTCCATGGTGCGGCATGTCCGGCCCAGGTTCATGCACACCACAGCGCCATCAGCGTTGGACAAGTTGAGGCTCAGACCCTGCGGGTTGCCAGCGCGTGCATCGGGGGTTGGGGACGGCGTTTTTCTGGAGTACGCAACGAATATGCGATTTCCGTCCAGGTATGTTGCCGTACGTATTATTTCGCAACGTATAAAGGGACACGCGAGCTCCTCGGCACTTGCCGACATCACAACTTGCAAAGATAAAACAGAGGGGGGTGTTTTCGCTCCTCTGATGCAACCCTCCGTTTCGCGTCATTTGTTGTTGGCAAAGGCAGGGTACGACCACTCCCGTGAACAGAAAATGGTGCCCGTACTCGACGCTTTCTCATTCAAACACCAAGTCAAGGTGTACAAGGATAGGGGTTTTTGCACGTACAATCACTTTTACACGTTTGCCTGACTCCAACAATGGAGAGCCCAATTTTTTGCCTTCAGGATAGTCAATAAACATCGCGTCATAGCGCCGCGGCCCTTCTTAACCAAAATCTTCGCACCGTCAGCTTGTAGACCGCCTTAGAGTTATCGGCACCGTAGGGATCAAAGGTGGGCGCCAGGGATGGCCTTCCATTGACCGTAATTCCTGAAATTGCATTTCTGCACTCAATATTGACATCCAGTGCGATTTTGTTCGCATCAATTTTAGGATCACAGCATGCAGCGCCGGGCTTGAAGCAATTCACCACCCGAACCGTCATGCATACGCGATTGCCGCTGACGGTGTATCCAGGATCAAGGCGGAAGCGGGATTGCTGTTGATCGCGGGTGCAGCCTGCAAAATCAGTGACGAGTGGTCATAATGCTTATTATTTAGGGGGTAAGGAACTTATGGCGGGAGGAAGCAGCCCAAGATAGCCAACCGTTACTTGCGCAGAAATAGTATTGCGTTATGAATAGATCCTGTTTTTTTATTCAAAATAAAATGAAAACGACGACGAGGATGACAAGAGCAGCTGAGCAAGGCTACCTACCATAGGGCGGGAACGTCTCCAGGTAAGATTGAAGGAGCCGGCGCTCCGCATTCGCTGTTTGGAGGCATCCCACGGAAGCCAGAGCCAAGAATAAAAACGTTGTAGGTAGACCCATGTTTTTTTCTTGGGCTTGCTGCTGAGAGGAAAACAAGAAATGTGGCGGGCCGCGCAGGTGGTCTTGCCAATTGTTACAGCCGCCGTCTCAAGCAAATCCTAACACGTAGATTGCTGCATTCCGCACCCGAATTTACTATTGAGCGCCGCGCAAAGGTGGACTTTACCGGACCAAACGTGCACCAGAGTGCACGATGACTTAAAAGGCCAAACACGCTAACTACCAAGTGCTTCACTAAGCTCTTCAGGTTATTGATGGTCACGACCTAAGCGCCCTATAGCTTACCTGAATTTAGAAAATTGAGAAGTCTGTGTGCCAAAAGAGTAAATTCGGTCAAGATAGGTACATCTATGTCAAGGTAGGGCTCGCAGGAGTAACGTTAAGTAACTGCTCGTATTGCCCTCCGTGATGCCCTACAACGCTTGCAGGTCGTAATTCGCATTTCTATCCCCTAGTAGCTTTTTATGTATCCGTTTGCCGCCAATTTAAATTCGTTGCAAGCCGTACGTTTGTAACCTACAACGGCAAACCGTCCCTGATTTCTGACGACACGGACTTATATGAGGAGCGTATCGTCCTGGACTGCAGCCAGTATCTTATGTGATTAGGATGTTACGGGTTAAGGGTGTCTGTGAGTTCCACATCGCACCCGTCCAGCAGGTTTGTTGCCGACGTCCAGACGTTGCAAGTTTCGGTGGAATTTGCCAAAGCGCGGAGTCCGCCAAAGTGCTTCTGCACCAAGCCGTTTTGAAAATGAGAATTTTAGTAGTATGTAAGCCTTAGTAGCGATTACATCACCTGATGCAAACTTTCCCCCGACTTTCGCATTGCGTATCCTTTGTGCTTTGTCGAAGGTGGGCCCAGGCATTACTGCTAACATCAAAGCACGAGCGTACTTTATTTAAATTAAATGGAATAAAATATAGTAGTTAAATGAACAAATCCTTTCGTAATTGACGTCGGAGGGCGCCTTAAACGGGGACGCGCTGCCGGAAGCGCTCCGAACGCTTCTGGGTTCGGTCAGCCTGAAAAACGCCCGACCAAGAACGTGCCTTATGCTTCCATTTGCCGTATGTATGCCAGCTATAAGATAATCTTTGAATTGTAATGCCCGATAAAACGCCAGTTCTGGGCTTTGGCCAATACTACGGTGGGGATGGCAGGCCGCAACCGTTTCGAGACGTTTAGCCGCCATCTCACAGACGAAATAAATTTAAAATAGCTTCAAAATATGCAGATGCCATAACCGATAAATAACCCTTTGAAGGTTCATAGAGCCATTAATAATTACGTATTGGAGCAGGCAGGAAAGCGGATGCCTGTTAGGATCTAAGTTCGCGAACTTGCGACCTAACCTGTTCACAACACCTCATCAAGCTGGACTTGACGTTAACGCTTTACACCCCTTACACTTGCGACACGTTAAGACCACCTTCAGACATAGCAAGCTGTGAGAACCCTACCAAGATATGTGTCGCGAGCAAAAGCACTCCATACTCTTCTTAACAAAAAAAATAAACTGGGCGGGCACTATCCATTCATGCTCAACTACAAACACGTTTTGTGCACGTGGCGAGCTCGTGGGGCCATATGAGTGATGTAACGGAGCAGGGGGACGACAACAGCAGGAAAAGGTCTTAGGTGCCAAGCGAATACGGAATTGCCGCATTACAGCGGATAAATCTACTCACTGAGTAGGGAGAAGGTGAGACAAGACGCCCACATCACAGATGTATGAATAGTATGAACTCGCATGTGTGCCACACCATCACGCGAGCTGCTGGCTGTGCTTGGATGGCACCCAAGTGATAGTGAGTGATGACTCGCAGCGTTGACATGTGTCGTACATTAGGTAGGTACGGCATTTGAGGCTTCCCAAGTACTGTTGTTCTGCCTGTCATTATTGTTGGCTCGTCGGCTGTGCTGTGCATGATGAGCAGCACTATGCACCCAGCAAAAGAATTCCTCCTCTTCTTCTGCAAGCGAGGGCAATGCCAAAATGTAATACAAAAGCAGCCCATAAATGCCGTCTGTATTGCGCGTGGCGAAGGGATGCGGCACCTTTCTGCAGGCACCTCCAGGCCGGCCGCATACGGCTACTAAGTAGTTAACTATGCAGAAGGCCTACTTAGGAAACACGCGGAAGTCAGTTATCACCTGCCTTTTTAAGTGCCCAGACCAAAGGGCGAAATGAAAGGAGAGCGGGTCCGGAGGCCGGATGCGTATCGTACAAAACGCGTGCATACCTCTTCATGCACTACGCCGCCGTACCTGCGTACGGCGCCGAGATATCCTCGACAACAATTACATGTTCTTTAATCAGCTACGTAGATGGGGTCAGGAAGGGGTTTGCGGAAAGGTCCAACCGGATTATTACCTGTTGGAACGCGTGAGTATAAAACATGTTACGTAAAGCTTCGTTCCTATGGTTGTGTATTTCGGTCGCATGGGAAAGGCTCACCTTTTCACAAACAGCACCCAACTCACCCGAAACGGGGGCCCCAAACAAAAAATGAACGCTGTGGACTTACGGATAGAGAAAGGGTATTACAACACAACACATGTTTATGTTGCCTTCAAATAATCTTCCATGGATTTTCACCCTCGTGAGACAAACCAACTGCAGTCACTGATAGTCTTAGCTTGGTCTTAAGCCGCAAATCTCACGTGCCAGGGAAGTCAATCATTGGTTGCGCGATAGGGTTCGTACAGCAGTAATTTATTTGATAACCTATAGGTGACACCCCCGTGTGATAGACAGGGATGGGTCCCTATGAACTAGTAGTTCATGCGCCAAATTCGTTAACATTGTGGATGGATGCACGCCCCACACCTCGATCACTTATTCGGGGTCCTTGAAGCGCATTGCAGTATAATTTATTCGGTATGTATGTCGTACTATACGACAGCTTTTACACTAGGAGGGGGGACTGAGGAAAACATGGACTAAACAGACAGACTTTGGGGAAAGGGCCCCACACAGGTTACTAAGATGGTTTCGGAGATTCGGACACATCCAAAACTTTCAAATACCCTGCTGTAGAACCTTGATGCTTTCGTTAGTTTCTTTCGGCGGTACGATACGTATGGGTAACGGGTAGGTTCGAGGCATGCCCACATCATAGCGAGCGTCATTTTCAAAGCTCTTGTTTTGACTTCGTAGCTACAAGGCGCAGACTGCAAAGGGCTGCTGTTGCTGCGCTGCGTTTCGCAGCATGTGGAGACCCATGTGGAGGCAGCCACGACTTCTTGTGGGCGCCTAACATTTGGAGCGTGCTCTGAGAGGGGACTGCGGGTCAAGGAAAGCTGCTCGCGAGGCCCAATTCGTTGATTGCGAGGCGGCCATCTGATCATGGTCGATGACGATCACTTGCTCGGCCAGGGGAAGAAGAATGTCCGAACCTGCGGTAGCCTCGCGATATAAGATTCCAAGCGTGCACAAGCGGAAGAACGGCGTAACTCCCGAGATCCCACTAAGCCTTAGTAATTCTCTCAAAGGTCTTGGGGGACTCCATAATGAATAAAAGATGAGATTATGTGCACTTGCATTTGCTGCAACCACGGAACCGGCGTAACGTCAATCGCCAAGGACCCGTAGGGTCTCCGTAACAGGTGGCCATAACCACGGCAATAAACATAAACTATCAGGACAACTGGCATCTCTCTTGTCATATCATGTACCGATTAAGGGTGGTCCCATGTGTGCTTTCTTTGACTTATGCAGTACATTCAAAACTCAATCAGTGCCCGTTACTGTGATGGAAGTACTATCGTCTGAAAACCGTTGTGCTTGACGATTTTTCACTCAAAAATGGCGGACGATATTGGGCTACCAGGCGGCGCCGAGGGACTAGTGAGGGTTTGCACAAAACGGGTTCGTGACAAAAGATCATTTTCATGGCAGTTTAAATCAATGCATTTTGCAGGATTTGGGGAGAGTCAAGCGGATCATGCAAGTAGAGGCGCGCTGCATGACGGTGAACCCGGAAAGCACGTTTCTTGTCTGCAGGGCAGCGGTAAGTAACGTGTTACACAATAAGCTTTACGTATCTTTGCTTGAACTTTGCCGCATCACTCTCCGTGACGGTCCCGCCTTTTCAGGAACTCTTCCTAGACGCGCTCATAGCGCGAAGCAACGCAGTCATGGAGGGGAAAACGGAACTTGAGTATCATCATGTCGGTGGGTCCCAAGACTTGCGTCTTAACCGACGGGCTCCTGTCCTTTGCCGTGGGTGGGCGAAGAGGAGCGGGCGAAACTTCACAAATGGCACAACCAGGAAAGCCCCTATGATGCTCATTTGTATATCAGCTGAGCAGGAAAGGGTCGTTTACACGCCACTTTTACCTCAATGCCTGGGACAAGGTAGTACACACACTTGGATTGCTGGCGCATGAGTACTGTGACACACCCCACGTGAGATAGCGGTTCCTGTCTGACGTCGCCTGCCTCTATGCCCGTCAACCTCCCGCGCATTCCGCATGCGCCACAGCGCAAGCTGTCCAAGGGTGGCAGTCGGCGCAATTTCTCACAGGTGTGGTGTCGCGTCTGGCAGCCTGTCAGCTACCTGATGCTTTAGGAACATATAATTGCACGTTTGATGCCCCCATGCCGCTATGGACTGGCGTTACCATGAAAATTTTCCCTTAGCTTCATTTAGATTTGAAATATGACTTGGGTAATATCGCCCACAGTGGGTACAGTGGGTGCCCATGCGTCTGGGATGAGTTGGGAAGGGGGCAGGTTCGAAGCTGCTGCGCAGCAGTGCTATCCGAAAAAGTCATTCATGCTTCTGCCGGGAGCTAAACTTTAACCCTGGCTGCTATCGGGGACCCCTGTGATCTTCGTGTAGACATCGTCCCCACCAAGATTCAGGCTGGACAGCTACGCTCCGACCCGCGGTTCCAGGGGAAAGGCGCTGTCACGCTGCCATTGCAGTTCTTTACTCCGCAGCAGCAGCAGCAGCACAAGTTGGAGCAGCAAGCAGCGACGGTTCCGTCGCCACTGCCCCCGCCGCCGTCGCAGAAGCAACCGAAACCGGTTGCGCAGCCGCCGTTGGCGGCGCAGCAGCCGCAACAGGTCCAGCAGCAACCGCAACAGCAGCCGCAACACTTCCAGCAACTCCAGCAGCAGCAACAAATTCTGTTGCAGGCGCAGCTGCAGCAGCAGCAGATGGAGGCCCAGCAGCAGCTGCTGGTGCAGCAGCGGCAACTTCTCCTGCACGCACAACAGCAACAGCACCAACAGCCTCTGCACCTTACCCCCGAGCAGCAGGCTCTGCACATCCAGCTGGCGGCGCAGCAGCAGTTGCAGTACCAGCAGCAGCTGCAGCTGCTCATACTGCAACAGCAGCAACAGCAGCAGCAGATGCTCTTGGCCGGACAGCAGGTACTGCTTGGCGGGACCGGGGCAGGGGGGTTTCAAGGTGCGGACGCCTCTGGGGGAATGGGGATACGAGCACCCAGCGACCTCATTTGAGACGGTGGTGAGACCTTTGCGGGGGCTGGGGATGCCGTGTGAGGTTTGCCACGTCCGTTCCATTTGGCGGCTCTCAGCCTTGTGGGTCGCACGCGTGACGGCGTCTGTCAAGGGGCTGCACCACACCCACAGCGGCAGCATCCTTACTTGTGGGTCGAGCTCCTCGATGTATGCATTTACGGTACACCTACGGACTATGGGAGTTAGCATCCCAACCAAACAACTGAGATCATGCAGCCCACTGGTTCAATGCGGTTTCGGGGGCATGTGACACGGCATCCTGGGCTCATCCGTGTGCCGGGGAAGCAGTCAAGCACTCGGCGTCGCGGTCGTTAAGTGGTCGTTTGGTGCAGCCCCGGGAGGCGGGGTTTCGTGCAGCAGTCAGGGTTCACGGTGGTTTAGGGTAGTCTGCGTGTTCTGTACTCTTGTGGCGAGCTTGACGATGACATGGGGAGGCACAGCAACGGCGCTGTCGAAAGCGTGAGCGCCGGGTTGTAGTAATGGACCGGGTAGAGAGCTTGATTTGGCTTTTGGAGCTAACCTGGCGCGATGCGTAACGGGCGGGCGGGGGAGCCTGCACGCCAGCTGGCCGCTGCAGTGATGGACACCGCGGGGGTGGTGCGGTGCAGGAGTGCAAGACGGCCCCTCAGGGGGCGAGGGCCCTGCAGACGGCCCTGCGGCGCCTGATTCACACGTGTTTTTGACGACTTACTACACGCCTTGAGCTCTTGGTGGGCCGCAGTTGCGCCAAGGCCGGCCGGGACGCCCTAACCATGGAACGATGATGCTTCCTTACTCCTTGCTTGGAGAAAACGGTCGATGATTTAACCCTGCATGTGGGAACGGAACACTGTTGTTGTTGTTCTTGGTTTTGTTTATAATCGTCGTCGTCGTGGGTGTCCGTGGAAAGTGACGAGATTGGCTCATGAGGCCATGGCAGGATCGGGGTTCCATAGTGAACCCACTTAGATGCACAACCCCTTCCGTTGCGTTATTTGGCGGCCTTGGAAATGCTGTTGCTGCGGCTGCTCGGCGACCCTGCGGAGATGCCAGCTGCGTTCTGGACCCCGGCATTCGGTTATGGATTTTTATTCGCGCCGTGGGAACATCACGGTCCATGTTGTGGTCCTGTTCCTGCGCTGGCTGTGATGCTTGGAGGAGGGCGAGGAATGGCTGGACGACGTTAGCTGGGTTATAGAGACGGCCATAACCGTTGCTATCGTTGGTAGGGGAGGGACAGGCAACAGGCGGAAATTGACTTCAACTGATATTTTTACCTCTGGGGTTTTGGTGAATGCTTCCTCCCTTCACACCTTGTCTGACAGGCGGGCACAGCATCTGCGAGCGCATGCTGTGGGGTAGCACTGTGTCTCCTCTCTCCTGCGCTGCATGTTGTTTTTGGAGGTATTGTACAGTATCCCTGGCGCTTTTGTCTGTTTGAACTGTTTCGTATTACCTGTGGCATTGTGTGGCATGGACGGAGACCTGCTGCTGTCGTGAGAGCGTTGGTTTTACTGTCTAGTGCGGTTCAAGCCTGACTTCATATCGTGTATTGGTGTAACTGATTCTGTGCTCGGTTCTGTGCTCTGGAAGCGGTGAAGGGAAGAACCTGGTACCGAGTAATTGCGCTGTGGGCTCTGAAGGAGCTGCGTTACCACCCGTCCTGAAGTTATCGCCTGTAGTAAGCGACATACAGCTCCGGAACCGCCACTTGGTGCTGCATCCAATCCAACATCATCATTTTTTCAGAGCGGCAGCATCGGCCCCTCTAACGGTTTATGGCAACGCCACCAACCTTTTTCGCCTCAATCCCCATGTCATGGATAAGCTGCCAGCAGCCAGAGTATCCGCCGAACAAATGCTGTGAAGCAAGGTGCCAGCGGGGCCAAATATGCTCCAACATCCCAACCAAGAGGGGGTTGGTTCGTCATACACCCTTTATGTCGCTCTTTACTGATTCTCTGTATGAAACCCATCCCCTCCCGTAATCCCTTCATATGCTGGGCATTCCGTTGCATCTCACGACCTTTGGGGGCTGTGAAAGAATGTATGTGTGAAATGGCGTCAAGTCGCAGAAAAAGCAGCTCATAGAGGGGGCAGAACGACCCAAATCCGAAAACCCACTACGTGTACGTGAACACACCGCGTTCTCCTCAATAACTAACGTAACAAATGGCGCCAATGTAATAGCGACATTCAGTTACAACTACTTAAGAGCGCGCGCCGTGCTTGCCGTGCAGCTGCGGAATCGCCAACCCGCCACCGTTGTGGCAAAAATGTCATCAACACTTTCTGCACGAACAACAAGAACAAGAACAACTAAGTGGAATTACTTCCATTACTACTGGTCCAGCAAATTGATATGGGTCGTACCACACGGTAGGCCTAGGGATCGAAGACTCTGCACGGCCTGCCGCCCTAGGTGACGCGGAATCCTTCGCGCGGAACTGCCTGCAGTGATGCACGATGATACTGGCCCCAGCTTGGAGTACGGCACCTTATGATGTGTAAAACTTCTCAGTACGACCAGAAAATGGAGCGACCTACCGCACGGAAAGAAGGCGTCCTGGCACAAATGTACTACCCTAACACACCACGACCTACCAACTGTAAAACACTGTGGAACTGACCTGCAACATCTGCGGTTATCAGTACATTACCAACAAGAAAAACCAAACCATTATACAGGTAGCACGGCTGACCCCTATTACGAAACCTATAACAAGCATCCAAATCACCAACACGCAGCATTCCCCTTCTCCTTGCACTTAACATTGCAAAACCGTTCCCAGCCTCCGCAGCGGTGATCTAGGTGCGCGGCTCTATCTCATCCTTTGTATACATCATACTAATGAGCATTTACGCTGATATCAACCATCGCCGTCGGGCGGAGCTATCGGGCCCTACCCTTTGATACCCAAATGAGGAGGCTCAAGATAGCAGTGGGCTCTATCGAGCAATGGGCCCGCATCTAAAATCACCTAAAAATCTGTATATTTCGGACAGCCTCCAGCTAGCCCTTCGCCCTCCCGGCTCGTGTGAGCCCGTTACATATTTGTGGGCAATGTCACACGCACAAAACCCGTCCAGTCGCACTATCAACAACACCCTAGGGATCGTCATACACCGCCGCATGAGAGCACACCACCGACAGGTACGGGCGACCAAGGTGCTGCGGCAGCCAAACGCAAGCCTCCCGGCACACCGCCTGGCAGCTAGAGATCCGTAGCTCAGTGAGCCGAGGAAGCCCCGCAGCAGCAGCCGCAATGCCGCGCGCGGTAATGCTTGAAAGCCGAGTGAGCTCTAGCCGACGGAGCGCCGCCGCCGCGCCGCTGGTGCTGCTGCCTCCGGCGTGGCTGCGGCTCACCGCGCCCAAGGTTGCCACTGCCCTTGCCGCCGCCGCCGCCAGGGAGTCTTGTCCCAACCCCTTCATGACTGCGGCAAGCGCCGCGGCGCTGCTAGAGCGCGGGATGGCACCTCCCGAAACCAAGCCGGTCCCCAGGACCTGCGGCGTTGCAGCTCCAGGCAGGGCCTCTCCATCCGCAGCAGCAGCAGGGCCAGCAGGCGCTGCGACACTAGCTGCAACACCTTCCCGTCGCGGCACCGCCGGCTCCACCACGATGCCGGCACATGCGTTGCAAGGCGGCACCGGCACGCCGGTTGCCAGCACCGCGGCTTTCGCCGCCGCCGCCACCGCCGGACCACAAGCCACCGACAGCGGCGCCGCGATCCCCAAGCCGCCACCTCCGTCACCATCCACCGACACCACTCCAAGGTCCTCAGCCACCCCGGCCCCCGCCCCGCTTCCCCACACCTCCCCATCCCCAACCGCTCCCAGTTCGGCCAGCGCCGCGTCGGTCACGTAGGGGGCACCCTCCAACGACAGCTCCCGAAGGACTGGCATCGCAGCCAGCAGCCCCAGCAACGCGCCGGTGGTCAGGGCCCCACATCCGGACAGCTCACAGGTCGTAAGGGCCGGCAAGGGTGCGCAGCTCAAGTAGTGCTGTTCAGGGAGGTCCTGACAACCTCCTAGCCGCAGGCTAGCCAGCTGCGGCGGCAGCCGGCCGAGTGCACCTCCACAGCAATCACCACCGCCGCCTGCGCCACCTGCGCCGGTCGCCTGAGTTAGGTGACAGGATTGGAAGTCAGCGACTGATGTGGCTCCACCGGGCTGGCACTGGATCGCAGCAGCTTGCACTCGGGGTTCACCTTCCCCAACACCAGACGGCGATGGCGGCGATGTGCGGTGGCAATGCGCAGACGGATGACACACGACGCAGGTCCCCCACCCAGCGTCAATGCCAGCGTCAACCCTATTGTCACAGCCCCCGCAGTCAGCGCCAAAGCCAGACGCAATGTCAATGTCGTTACTGCTGTTACCAGCATCGCTGCCGCCGCAACTGCCGCCAGCATCGCTGCTGCCGCCGCAGCGCCCGCTGTGTCCGCGGCCACCGCCATCGCTGCCGCCCGTAAGCCCCGAGTGATGGCCCTCGGAACCACGATGCTGAGGCTGATGGTGGTGATGATAATGCTGATGGTGCGACTGGCAACGTCTGCTGTGCAACGCAGCGAGGCAGCATGCGTCCGCTTCCAGTTTCAACCCAGCGCTTGCCGTCGGCCCTGCCGCCGTCGGTATTGCACCTGCTGATGGCAAACTGCCACCCGCCGCCGCCCGTATCGCAGTCAGCTGCTCATGCCCTGCCACTGCGTTCCACATGCCCTCCCCATCCTCAAGCACCAACGACCTCAGCCCCGGCAGCCACGCTGCCAGAGGCAAGCAGTCCTCCGACCATGCCTCCAAGCTCAGTCGCGTGACACTGGTAAGCTGCGGCGGCGGCGGTGGTGGCAATGACCCACCACCACTGAGCCCACTGACGCCAACCAGGTCAGCGCCATAGCACCCCTCGTCGCTGCCCTCTTCCGGCGAGGCCGCTCCTGCACCCCATCGCAGTACCCTCGCACTCGGCACTGACAGACTGGCCAGAGCGGTACAGCCCCGCAGGCCCTCGAGGACCTCCCCATCCAGTGGCAGCTCCAGGTGCAGGCGCCGCAGGGTTGTAAGGCCCGTCAGCGGCGCGAATGCGAGGGCGGCGGGGTGGCCGGTGCCCCACACGGACAGCGACTGCAGGCCGACCAGGGCGTTGAGGGAGGCGAACGAGGGCCCACTGATGGTGGCGTCTGAGAGCTCCAGGGAACGCAGCTGCGAGCCGCAGGGAAGGCTGCAACCGGTCTGTGCGGGGGAGATGGGAGGAAGGCGTAGGTTGGGGAGAGGGAAACTTAGGCTAGTGAAGACGCGAATTGAAGGGGACGACGAAGATGATGATGACGGGGATGTAGGACAGGAGAACAGGAAAAGCAGTGGAGGGGCAGTGGAGGGGTTATCTGTTCCTAATTGGCAAAAGAAGAGTGAAGTGCCCTGCAGATAAACCATGTGCGCACACCTGCAATTTCAGGTGATCCACACTGAGGCTGACCAGCTGTGTGAGGCGGTGGAGGTGCGCCAAGCTCTCGCTGGTAAGTGCGTGTGCCAGGCCGCGGATGCTGAGGGCGCGCAGCCCCAGCAGCGAGTCGCAAAGGTGCACCAGCTGCGCAGAGGAGATGGGGAAGCGCTGCAAGTGGAGTTCGGTGAGGGAGGGAAAGGCGTTCTCTAGTTCCTGGAGGCAGCGCCCCAAGTCCGCACATTCCTTATGCCGCCCCCGATAGCTGTGCTGGCAACGGATTTCCAGGTATTCTATGCGTGGGCAGGCGAGGCGCAGCATCTGCAACGCGGTTAGCAGGCCATCACGGCCGCTGAGGCGAACTGCACGCACGGATTGCTCCAGCCGGGTTCCGTGTTGGCGCAAGGCAGCGAGCAGCTGGTGGCTGCATGCTGCGTTTCGAGCGTTGAAGTCTAGGAAGGTGATGGGCGGCAGACACGCGAGAGTGGGCGCAGCACCACTCAGAAGTGCCGACGCCTTCAGGCTAGTCAATTTGTTGGTCACGTTGCACAACGTGCACAGCCGCGGGCAAACAAGCCGAAGTGACTTGATATCTTCCTGGGGCAGCCGCTTGCAAAGCTGGTCCAAGAAAGACTCTGGCAACTCGGTGAATTGCACTGGAGCTTTGTACGTCAATGCTGTTCCTCCTGCCTCTCTGGGTCCTAAACCTGCTACGTCAGGCATTTGTGCGAAACGCAATATGTTGCCGCCGCCGAAAAGTCCTTTAACAAACTAAACTTATCAGTGAGGAAGCGAGCCTACGCATTGCCATGACATGGCGAAACAATCAATCATGTAGCCCCGTTTCCGATTTTGCAGTATTTAAAGTCTATGGCAGGCTTGTGCCTAGCAATTGTGCAAAGTGCAAGCGCAACAGTGGAAACAAATTTCATTCAGTTCGACTCTGCTAAATGCCTTGAGAGCGCAACTGCGCTTCAAACTTACGTACAGTTAGTTACTGCCGACACAACGAGCGACAGACAAACGATACCCTCTGTTACTGTCCATGACTATGGTTTCAAAGTGGCCCTATGTGAAGTAATGCTAGAGATCATGCTGCAGAGAGTACTCTCATGAGGCGTGCGTTGGGTTGGCTGCTACCTGGACAAGGAACCGGTGGCATCTTACCTTCCTTAAGGTTCGTGAATGTGTTTTTAACGGTAGCAACACACAATTAAGTCGCTATCCGTGGCGGACGTGCATTCCATATCCATAATTAACGACGTAGAAGTTGCTTGTGGCCCTTGTTGACATCTTTCATATACCAAGATTACGTGAATGCACGCTTATCCATTGATCCCGCTACTATCGCAACTGTCTACACAGCAACTGCCCAACACCATCATGGCTCCTACATTCTGTGGAGGCCATCTCCGCCGCCTCCCCAGGAGCATGCACCTGCGCAACGTCAGCCGACGGGCTCAATCCACTCTTTGCAGTTTTTCAGGGAAGGTGGGGCCGGCGGCTTTCAACGCTGGCTCCTGATCCCCACGTAGCCACGGGCAATGTCGGACCCCACCGGGAACCTGGAGTCAACCCAGATCCACATGCCACCGCTTCATTCCCATCTCCCTTTGCCGCATCGTCTCCTCCATCAACACCAGGATTGCAGTCACAACCACAGCTTCCAAGTGCGGTGCAGCAATGCCATGTTGAGTCGCCAATGCCATCACAAATACCTTTGGGTCCAGAATTGTATCCCGATCCAGGGCCCCTGACAGCAGTAACAATCCTCGCAGCAGATGCGGACTCCCAAGTGTCATCTGTGGCGTCAGCCGTCGCGCTGCTCTTGCAGAGCAGCAGCGGCAGTGGTGCTGTGGCATGTACGGCGGCGGAGCCGTCAACAATGTTGGTGCTCGTCCAGCACGTGGCCAACTCGTATGAGTTCGTTCACACCGCCACAGGACTCCCCTGGGCAGCGTCCATCCCGTTAACCACTCTGGCGCTACGGCTGGCGCTACTGCCGCTGTCCATGCGGCAGGCGCGGATTATTCGTTCCAACTTCAGCCTCTACCGGGAAGCAGTTGCGCTGACTGACCAGCAGGAGCGAGAACGGCATCATCAGCAACAGCAGCAGGGGCAGGGACAGGGGCACGGGCAGCATGGCCAAGAGTACCACGGCCAGCAGCAGCACCAGGACCATAACCATCCGGGACCTGGTGTGGCGGCCACCACATCTACTGTTGCTGCTGGCGCTGGCGCTACAGTCGAAGTCGACCCAGGGCTGCCTTCAGTGCTCCATTCCCGGATGCTGCGGTCTCAGGCAGTGCTGTCCAACTTTGACAAGTTGCGGAGGAAGGTGGGCGCGCCTCACCCAGCCTGGATGGTGGTGAACCCCCTGGTGCAGATCCCGGTGTTTGTGCTCGTGAGCGCCACGTTGGGGATCATGTCCAGGTAAGTGACTTCGGCTCGGGAAGGGGCTCTGGATCCGCTGAAGCGACGAGGGAGGCAGATTGGCAGCGGTGGAGATTGGCGGTAGGCGACGGTTGACTTTTGCAATACTGGAGAGCGAGGACGGCTGGCGGCTGTCGGTGTATGACTGGCTAGGTTGCGTCCCGTTGCTCAGTTGAATTGGGAGGGTGAGAAAACGTGACGTGCACTTATGCGAGACGTGTGACTGCGCGAAACCAAATGTCGTACGCCGTACGCCGTACACAGGTTGCCCTGGCCGGGGCTGAGCAGCGAGGGTGCGCTGTGGTTCCCAGACCTGACCCTGCCGGCTGTGGTGATGGAGACGGGGGAGATGCCGATGGGGCCGGCGGGACTGGTACTGCCGCTACTGGTGTACGGCATGACTATGACATCACTGCGCCTTGGTTTCGGGGCCAGCGGGCTGGCTGGGAAGCAGCAACAGCTGCAGTTGCTGCAGCAGCCTCAGACGCCGGGCGGGGCCGCGCCGTCTGGGGAACCCCCAGACACAACGCTAGGTGAGAACGAGAGGTGGAGGACGCGCTAAAACGAAAAAGGCGGGAAGGACGGAGAACGATCTGAATGCCGATACGGTTGAGGTTCTGCTTCTTGGGAATTGCTCTACGGCCAACGCATCCTCACCTGCGCGTATTCGTGCTCGCAAACCCCGCAGCCGCCTTCCTCCGCTCGCTGGCCCCGCTGCTGTACGTCCTAACTACTTTGAATTTGTACTTTAAAGTACAGATGGCCCACGGGGTGCTCGTACACTGGCTGGGCAGCGCAGGGTTTACCCTTTCCCTTCAGGTGGGCGGGTGGGTGGGTGGGTGGGTAGTGTCGGGAAGGAGGGTCGAAATCAGGAGGTCGTTGGGTGGCTTTCCAGGATGGCGCCTGGCAGGGCGGCCGGGGCTCAGCGAGGTGGTATGAGGGTAAGCAGACTGGCTGAGGACATGAGGGCCCTGGGCATGTGCATCTGCATGTGCATCTGCATGTGCATCTGCATGTGCATCTGCGTGTGCATGTTTACGGGGTGCGGTCTTTGTGTAAAAACTGGTGGGACCGCCAATGAGCTGACGTCCGCACGCCCGCTCTCGGCCGCCTGTCTGCCAATCGCAGTTGGCGCTCCGGAACCCAGCCCTACGCGCACTGTTCCTCAGGTTCAGGAACCTGCCTTCCTCCTCCGCCGGCTCCTTGTCTGGGGCCAGCCCCTCCCTGGCGCCATCCCCCTCGAGCTCCACCAGCCCCTCGGTGGACTCGGCCAACAGCGGTGGCAGCGGTTCCAGTTCGCCCCCTCATCCCTCCCTGGACTCGACCCGCCACCTCCCCTCTGACTTAGTCGCCCGGGTGGATGAGACCACAGACCCCAATGTGCTCGTCATCATGGGAGCGCAGCTGAGCGCCAGGCAACAGTGAGTTCGGGGGACTAGGGGAGGATCGGGAGGGTAGGGAGGGAGGGAGGGAGGGAGGGAGGGAGGGAGGCCGTCACTTCCGCCATTCCAACTAACACAGGCACTCACCGGCTCCTTGGCTGCGCTGAAGCACCGAGAAACCACCTTGCCACGGACACCCATTCCTGCCCGTCTGCTGTCCTAATTGCTTTTTTCTCACCTCAAGTGCGTATGATGGATAGAGTGTAGCCGGGCGGAAAACTGTCCGGTGAGTTCCTTTCCTTTTGTTGGCTTTGCCTGATTGTTGTGCTTGACTCACGCTCTCGTGAACCGCCTCCTCCTCACCGTGCCCGGCGTTACCCTCGGCTCGTCACTTAATCCCCGGTCGTCACTTACTGTCCACGGCGTGCCATGCTCAGCTACGCGGGTGCGCTGCACTGCTTCCGGAAGGCGGTGCTGCTCAACCCGGGCCATGTGCGCGCGCACTACTCCATGGGCCAGGTGTTTGCCCTGACAGGTAGGTTGAAGAAACCCCACCTGCCTGACCCGGACTTCGTGTGCGTGTGTGTGTGTGTGTGTGTGTGGAGTTCTTGTTCTTCCCTAATGGCCTCCGCCCCCGTCGGTATCCCCCTTCTGAACCTCATTATGCTGCCATTCATCCGTGTTCAAAACCATCTGCTGCTGCTCGCCCCTTCTGCCGTGTCTCCACCCATGCCGTTCTGTTTTATCCCAATCCACACGCTCGCCCTTTCACCCGCCGGTCCGCCCGCGCGACCCTCAGGCCGCTGGTCAGATGCGGAGGTCAGCTACCGGGCCGCTGCAGAGCTGTCCGCCCCGAGCCCGGAGAGGGGTCAGGCGCTGTACTGCGTGGCCACGGCATTGCACTCGCAGGCAGGGAGCGAGCGGGCGTGTAGGGAGGGGAAGGGGAAGGGGGACAGGTGCAGCGGGGAGGTGAAGGCGGGGTAGCTGAGACGGGACACGGGCTGGTTTGGCTGCTGCTGGTGTACTGCTGCAATGCTGTAAGGCACCACCCGCGCACACATTACCCCCTTTGGGGAGTAATGACCACTTCAGGAGTCCAGGCTAACGGGATGAGGATTGGGGTTTTTCATGAGCATGTGCATGTTGAGATATTGCGGTTGCTCTGTCAGCATGGGTTGGGCTATTGCTGGTCGCCCTGCCCCTCCGCGTCTTCGTTCCTTTTCGGTTTTCCTGTGTCTCTTTTCGCTTACGGTGATGATCGCTCCCGTGGCGGCTACCTTGCCGTGCGGATGCAGGGCAAACTGGAGGCGGCAGCGGCAGCCTATGCCGACGCTGATGCCAACTGGCCGGGCCAGACGGTCATCGTGTACGGCAGGGCGAATGCGCTGGCGGCGGCAGGGCAGCGTGAGGCAGCGGCCGAGGCGCTGGCGGAGGCGGAGGCGCGCGATGCGGCCACGCCGGGGCGGCCGTTCCACGCTGCGCTCGCCCGGTTACGTACCCGGTTGACGGCGGCCGCTACGGAGGAGGGGGAAGGGGGAGGAGGGGTCGCGAGACACGGGCAGGGTGGCTCGGGGCCGGGGTCGGGATCGGGACCGGGCGGCAGTCAACGCGGGACTCCTCCCTGAACCTTGACCGGCTGTGAAGATGCGAGAACTGCGAGGAAGAGGAAAAGATTGCCGCCATGTCTGAATGAGCTGCGGTGAGGTGCAGCTGGACTTCCGTCCAGGCACCACCGGAGTTGGACACGCGTGCGGGGTAAACACATTGCACATGGATTTGCTGGCGTTTAACTTCTTCACCAGCCGTTCCGTGTTCACACAGCAATACAACCGTAAGGGCATGTGGCAGCAGGGAGTGTGAGAACGGAGTTTGGGTTTGCGGATCCTCTTTGTCGGTCCTAGGCCACTCAGAACCGCGCGGTTTATAACGTTGTTTCAAGAGTAAGCGCTGCTTGCTATGTTTCACCGCTTATCGTAGTTATGAATCAAAATTTACTTAAAATTTATTTTATATATTGCTACATCGCGGAAGTTTGCCTTACAACTCAGCTATTAGGAAGTGGCAGTAAAAATATAGCGAACTCCTCCCGCAGAACATCATGAAACACAAACTGCACGCCAGGACGATCCTATTTCTGGAATGTCAGGGAAGTGAATCCCAGTGGAAGCGGAGGCGCCATTGACCCAGCTCCGTAAACAAAGCACGATTGTCCAGCGATCTTTCAAACTAGCAGGAGCGGCCGCGCGCGCGTCAGGTGGTCGTTCAGCGTGGGTTGAGGGCGATACCGTGTAGCAGTCTGTTGGGTAACGACGCCTATTGGTGTAGAAACTCGGAGGCAACCGGTTGCCGATTGCTGACAGTGGTGGCCGTCCCCTCGGGTTCAGGTCGCTTCTCCCCCTCTTTCACCAAGCCCCTCTCGCATCCTGCGCCTCCCCCTCCACCCAAACATACCTAGGCGCCCTCCACCATGTGTGGAGGAGGGAGCGATTGCTACTTCTTGCATTTTACCAGGTACCCACCCCTCCCCCTCCCATCAGTCTATCCATGGCGTCAGCTTTTCACTCGTTCGTGGTTCGTCTCCATCCCCCATCCTTAAAAACCCTGCGAAGGGTTTCTCGTGCTGGGGGAGAGAGGCGGCCACCCTGCTTTGGTCGGCATCGCACGCGCTGTTGTTTACCGCCCATGATCCCCTTGAATCCCTTGTTGTATTTGTTTGCTGGGCAAGTCGGAAGTAGAGCGTTGGTAAGTCGCCTTTCAGCAGGGAGATATGTAGCTGTGAGGACGAGCCTCATTCGAGTCCTGATCCTTGCAGAAAGGACAGCTTGTAAGTGAAACGCTAGTCATATGCGAAACGCAGAAGTCCCCGGGCCGGCAAGTAAGTCGCAACGGCTGGTTTGTGGGAAGATGATCGCGGCAAGTGGACGTGCGAATTACTGGGCACCGTCATCTCAAAGTTACAATTGAAGATAACACACGGCACCTGATGGTATGAAATCTTGAGCCCAACCAGCGCAAAGCGTTATGTCTAAGCCACTAAAATTGCTGCACAGTTTGGGGGGTACAGGGCGGGGTATTATGTTTGTGACTCTAAAGGCTCTTGGGCCTCTGCTAGCTCGTACGGGCTCGTTTTAAAACTCTCCGGGTAACGCAACCGAGGTGTAACACACACATACACACATGTTTGGTCGTTACAGATGGACTGGCGGACATGGCCAATCCTATGGGCCGTGGCCCCACCCCCCAACACGTTTCGCGCTGGGGCCCCGTCCAAAAATTGGGCAATATCCATATCAACACTACGCCGCTGGACCACTTCCTTAGGTAAAGTTGGCCTTGCGCACCATCCTCGCCCCTTCCTTCTCGCGTTCAGATTATAATAAGCACATTCGCATGCACATACATACAGCCGCCTGCAACGCCACCGCGATCTCCTGCCCCGCCACCACCGCCTACGATGCCGTCTCCCTCACCTGCCCCGCCGCCACCGCCGCCGCTACCCGCGCCGCTGGCAACGCCCCCCCTGCTCCCGCGCCACTAGCACCTCCGCTACGTAGCGCACCTGCAGCAACACCACATACGACACGTAGCGACACACAAAGAAGGCATAACCTGGGGGGATGACCTGTCAGCCAACTCGTATTAAAGCAATCCCAAAAGTGTTACGATTCGGCGGGCTTCCATCTTCACTGACTCACTTCACTGTGAAGAAGGAACCCACTTCACATTCACGTCGCGGAGCGCCGGCCTTCCTCCTGGCCCGGCTGGGCCTGCCCCCACTGACGGTGGTTCCCCATTGCCGAGAACCCACCTGCCAGGACGTCATAGTCCACACGCTCAGCAGCAGCTTCGCCCGCGCGGCAGGCATCAGCCGCAGCCGCAGCGCCACCGTATCCAGCTCCACAATAGCTGCACACAGCGCCAAGGCCTCCTTCTCCTCCTCCGCCGCCGCCGCCGCAGCCGCCTCAGGGTAGCTGGCTGGTGCCGCCACCCCCTCCGTGTCCTTCCCCCCATCATGTTGCTGCGTTTGCCGCTGCTGCCCCTGAGCCGCCGGTGTATCAGTGTGGAGAGTGGACAGCAGCTGCCGCTGCTGCGCAGGCTGCTGCTGCTGCTGAGGCTGAGGCTTCGGCTGCAGCTGCTGTTCTGCAAGCACCAAAAGGGAGTAAAGCTCCATCTCTGTGAGAACGTCCCCCTCGTCCGCTGCCACCGCGTCCGTCGCCGCCTGGATTGGCCCCGTCCCCGCATCTGCCGCCTCTACCGCCTCTGTCACCGTCACCACGTCGCGGCCGGACGCTTCCGTCACCCTGGTTGGATGCCTGGGTGCCTGCCCGCCAGCGGGCCCTGCTTCCAATGGCATTGGTGCTGCTCCTGTTTCCGCTGCCGGCGTTGCGACCGCCGCTGTTGGCCGTGGGACCTCCGCCCGCGCTGTTGGAGCTGATCCTGCCGCAGCACCCAGCTCCGTCGTCGCTGCTGCCTCCGGTGGCCCTCCTCCTCCTCCCCCTCCTGAGCCATCTCCAACGCTGCCGCCGCCAACCAGGCGCTGTATTCCCGATCCACATGCCGTCCCCTTCTGCCCCTGTTGATGTTCATCCTCATGGTGGTGTTGCTGCTCCAGCGCCACAAGCTGCCTGCTCACGCCCGCGCCATCGGCAACTGCATTCCCCGCTGCAGCCACGTCCATATCCATTGCCTCGCACACCTCCACGTCCGCGTCTATCTGCTCCTCTTCCGCGGTCCTGCCAGCATCCGCTTCCATGGCTTCCACGGGGCTTCCAGCAGCAGCCGCTCCTGCCGGGGTCATCGCGGCGGTGGCGGTGGCGGTCGCAATAGAAGAGCCCGCCTCCGTTGGGCACGGGGTTTGCATGGAGGCCGCGCCCAGGGCTGCGGACCCTCCATCGCCGCCGCTGTCGTGTGCGTCTGCCCGCGTCTCTGTGTGGCCTTTGATCACCATCGTCGCGCTGGGATTCACATAAGCGGGCGCCGAAGCCAACACGCTTGCACCTGCTGCCTCCACGCCAACCTCCGTAACCGTCAAGGCCTCCATCTCCGCCGTCACCGCCACCGCATCTGACACCCCGCAGCCCAAATCGGCCTCCCTTCCATCACCCCTAGCTGCGGCCGCCGCTGCAGCTGCGGATTCCACCGCACCACCAACTAATGCTGCTGCTGTTGCCCCCGCGGCGGCGGCGGTGGCGGCAGGGAAGTCACTCACCGGAGCCTCGGGTGGCAGCTGCTGCGGCGGGGTGCCGGCGGTGGCGGCGGCTGCATCGGGGCTAGCCGTCGTCTTCAGCAGGTGGCGGCGTAGCAACGGATCCAGGCGGGTGGGATCCCAGTGACTTGGCGCCACCTGTCGGAAGGAAGCAGTTTGTTGGACGTTGTGCGGTGTGGTGAAGCGAGATGGGATGCAGTGGAGCAATGGAACGTGTATCTGTGGCAATGAGACCCATTAGTTGGATAAGAATCGGCGAAGGAAGGAAATAAAAAGCAAGCGCGAGTTGCCCGGCTGAGGTTTCGGAGCCTTATCTATCGTCCTCAGGAAAGAACACCTAATGGCGTCATATAGTAATTCCTTTGTTGGCGGCTTACACCGTAGAGGAGGCGTAGGTCTGTAATAACAGTGTGCAGTGTAGAGATGGACTCCCGGTGGCGTGGGGTTACATCAGAATAAGGTATTATTCTGATGTATAGACCAAAGGGTCTAAGTTCACGGGTCGGTTTTCTCTCCTTCTCGTCGTCATCGTACCTCCACACACCCGCGGAAAGGGCCCCGGAAGCCGCGTCGATCCAAGGCCGCTATCGCCCTCGGCGTCGTCCGCGCTGCAGACGATTCGTCCGCGCCTACGTCCGCCGTCCTTTTTGAATCCTGCGAATCCGGATCCAGGACGACGTGACACACGGCCACGTGGATCCAACCCTCTACCGCCGTCTCGCCCTCGTGCTTCCCCTGGGCCCCGCCGCTGCCGCCTTCAGGTTCTCCTTCTTTTTCTCCTTCCTCCTCCTCTTCTCCTTCGTTGCCCCTCCATAGCTCCAGGGGCAGGCCAGGATCAAACCGGATGCGGTGGGCTCCTGCGTCGAAAACAAGACCGACCGACCCACGGGTCGCAGGAGCCTCAATAGGCGGGCTGTAGTTTTCTCATCGCACTTTATGCGACCGCAGCGCCCGTAGTAATGTTACCCGGCCCCCGTGACCCAAGCCATAGGCATGCATCATGCAGGCGCAGCCAATCGATCAACATGGGGACACCCACCTCCTTTTCCCCCCGTAAATCCCCGGCCTGGACACGCAACCGGCCCCTACCGGTAGAGCAGTGTCGTACGCTTACCTGTCTCCGCGTCGTACCCGACCAGCCTGCCGGTAAATAAGCCTCCATCCCAGCCGCCGCGCCTGCCGCAGCCGCCGTCACCAGGAACACCCGCAAGGGGCCCCACCGACACGCCTGCGCCGCCCTGTGCCGCCAGGGCGCCTGCCGCTGCTACATCTGCTGCCGCTGTGTCTGCTGCTCCTGCTGACTCTTTCTGGGAAAGGCACGAGTTCATCACGTGATCCTCACATACGGGGAGGGCTACGGGGTAGGGGCCGCACGTGCTGGGACACATGAACACGGAGACCCCTACCCGGCGCCCCACCAATGCGGCTCCTCCGGCCGCCTCGGCGGACTGAGGACAGCGCACGGGGCGGGGGGGACAAGGAAGAAGAAAAGCGATCAAAGAGGAAGCAACAGGAATTCGCAGGGGATTCAGAAGGGACTCGCACACTCACATTAGGGATAGAGGGAAGGGAACGAAGGTAGAGAAAAAACGCTGTCGTGGTGTTGGTCGTAGGAGGGGTTGACCCGGGAAAGAGAGATGGAGCTCTGCGAGGAACAGAAAGTGCGCCGCAGTAACGGAGACGATGCAGAGGCATAGTCGGGACTGCCGCGGGGACAGCAGCGGAGGAAAGTCCGGCACGTGCCCAAATCGAGGGGAGCTGGGCGCATGGGGCCGTGTCCGCGCCAGTCCACGAAGGCAACCCAACGCAAGGCCAGGCCAGGCCAGGAGAACCCCATCCCACCGCCCATATCCTCGATGTATTCCTCGTTGCCTGAAAAGGAGATGGAAGAGCTACATGTTGAGGGCAAAGATGTGGCGGGCTTCCTGCAGGGGGGGGTTTCACGACTGTCTCGTCGGGCTCTGCCCTCCGATACCCAGCTCCACTCCCCGCGTCCACCCCGCCCCTACACCCCCCTCCTCCTCCTGCCCCTCCCCCTCCTCCTCCTCCTCCTCCTGCCCCTCCCCCTCCTCCTCCTCCTCCTCCTGCCCCTCCCCCCCTCCTCCTCCCCGACACCGTCACCATCACCCCACCTGGCGAAGGAATTCTGAGAATGGCAGCACGCCCGGAGGGCACCTGCCGCTGCCTTCGCCGCCGCTGCCCTCGCCGCCGCTGCCCTCG